GAACATTGAGATTATTTCTTAGCTGAGAGTCAACAATGTGCTGGGGGAGGCGCGGGGGGTGGGGGGAGTCGGGACCGATGAAGCCGGGAGGTTGGAAGGCCAAGAGAAATAAAAAGAGCTGGGCGGGGGCAGGGAACCCAGGGAGATTTCTGCTGAGAGGGGCTGCGTTAAAAAGGATCAGGCTGGGAGGTGGCTGTGGGGGAGGTCTCAAGCCTGAACCAGTAGGTAGAAGGCCTTCGGCCTTGGCCTCAGCTCTCCTGGACACAAATCTCGGGAGACCTAAACTCCCCTTAACACAGAGCCTGGGGGAATACAAGCCCTAGGCTGAGCCTCAGGAAACAGAGAAGTACCCTAGCGAGAGCAACTCTGGACAGGGATGGGCAAGGTGCGGGCTCCCCTGAACATAGGTATGTGGATCTGAGCTCCACCAGATACTGCTGCGGGGGTTCTGGTCCCCCTGAACGCTGGTGTGGGGTTCTGAGCTCCTGTGGACACATGGGGGTTTCAGCAGCCACCACGACGACGGTGGGGGGCGTAAGCCTCAAACGCTGGCAATCCCCATTTCCATTCCGCTTTTTCCGCCATTTACCTGATTCCAAGCTGGGCCCCCAGCCCCAGACGCCCCTGGCTCGGCCTCCGCCTTCCATCCGCAGGGCGTGCTTGGGAGTAGGGGACCACGCGCGGAGGGCCTGGGCGGGCTCCGGAAGGGGCCGGTTTGGGGGCGAGGGGCGTGGACCCGGCGGCGCACTACCCGGGGAGTTCTTGGAAGTCACTCGGGGCCGCGCGCAGGGGCAGCTCCGGAGCAAAGCACGAGACCGGGTAAACTCGTAAATCCCGCCCCCGCCTGTGATTGACACCCAGATCGCTCCGCCCCGCGTTGTCTAGTTACGGACCCGGCAGCCCCGCCCGGAAGTCAGGTTTCCTCGCCGCGCGAGTGCGGTACTCGCCCGGCTTGGCCAGGGCCTGCGTTTCCTCCTCTCTGACGCGCGGACCTCGCCCAGGTTCCTGAAAGCGGGTAAACCGGTCTGGGTGCTGCTTCTGTGGCCCAGCCCCTTCCCAGCTCTGCGGAGGCTTCAGCGGGGCGCCTGTCCTGCACAGCGGAGAGGGGAGGGGATTTGGGGATGGCAGACACGACTAGAGCTGTTCCCTAGTTGCTCTCCTGCAGGGCAAGGCGATCCTCTCTGGTCTCCGCTTCCCGATCCGTAAAAAGTGGAGTTCAAAGGACCAATCTCCTAGGAGAGTTCCAAGTGATCATTCATTCACAAAAAACCACTTAGTACGCACCTGCTAGACTTGTTTCTGCGCTTGCATGGAGGCTAGAGGCTAGGAGAGACAAATCCAGAAACGAATGTAAAATTGCAACTATGATACTACCGGGGTGGGGGGGGAAGTAGCTCTTGATCTGGATGTCCATAAACAGGAGTCTTGGACTAAAATGGCGGGGGGGGGGGGGGCATTTGTAGCTTTGTCTCTCTTCCAGAAGCAGAATTTTCCTAACTCCGGAATAGTGGGCAAAGTGATGTAATGCTAATATTTAAAGAAGAGAATGAATCCCTTAGTTGCTCTCTTTTCAGCTTTCGGTCTTCCCCTAGTCTTCTGACTAAAGATAGGCCTCTTCCTATCCTAGTAACGTGTAACTTGCTAATCTCGCTTTCTAACTAAGAAAGCTGTCTGTTTCAGCAGGATCTTATGACGTTTTGTTTTCACTGTAACTTTTATTAACTGTTACCTTCTAAGTATGGTTAGTGATTAACAAGTGAGTTACAATAAGAAAAAATTTTAGATAAATAATAGTACAGTCGGTATGCAGATATGACAAAAATCCTGCCTGTCAGCTGTCTGAAATTTGGAAAATTCTAAGAGTCATGAGAAGCCACTGATTAAATGAGACAATAAATATTTAGCACTTAGCACTTGCTTACCCCAGACAGCCCCATTCACTCTTTCAGGCCTGTGTTGGGCATTCCTGGAAGTGATATTCTAATGAGGGCACAGATGCTAATTAGAACATAAATGTACCCTTTCGGACGGTAAGCAGTGACCTAAGGAAGTTCAAGAAGATGGGTAACGGAGCTGAGTGGCAGAATGGGGAGGTGTTTTAGATCAGGTGGCCAAAGACCACTCCAAGGAAGTGACATTTCAGCAAAAATCTGAAGAAAGAAAGGTTGGGCGTCTGGGAGAAGAGCATCGTAGGCAGAAGAACAGCAAGTGCAAAGGCCCTGGGCTAGAACATGCTTGGCCTGTTCTCCAAACAGGAAGGAGGCCACTGTGGATGAAACAGAGGGGAGCCAGAGAGTGAAATGATCCAATCTGCATTTTGTAAGATCTGTGTAGCTGCTGTGTAGAATGGACTGAGGAGGCAAAGGCAGGGAGGAAGCCACTGCCCTGACCTAGAGGAGAGGTGATGGCCGCCACTCACATTAAGATGGGAGTCCTGAAGGTGGGGAAAGTGGAATGGGATGGGAAGTCAAGTGGACAGCACCTGGGACTGGGTGCCGTGCGAGGAAAGGAGAAAAAGGGATTCAAGGAGGCTCCCTCAATCAGGGGGCTGGCAGGAAACAGCAAGAATTCTCTTTGGGTCCCGTCAGGTTCAGGATACCTTAGTGCCCCACAAGGAGACATAGGGAGGGGGCTTGAACAGAAAGTCTGGGGGCAGGGGGTAGGTCCAGGATGGAGAGGGAAATATGGGCGTCAGGCGTCAGCGCAGAGCGGCATTTAGAGCCCTAAGACTGAATGAGACTACTACCAAGGGCTGAGTGTAGACAGAGGCCCTCGGCTTGAGAAGTGTTTCCCCCCCCCCCCAGAAGGGAAGAGTCAGCCCTGTCAAGTCACTAGGATGAGACCAAACTCCAGAGCTGAGGAGGGGAGGCTGACCCTCGCTCACACCGAGCCACTGGAGGGAGGAACTATTTGTCCCAGCTCTCTGGGATGGATGAGCCCGGCGTCTGTGCACACGTGACATGTATGTCCGTAGGGCTGTATGTGCTTCTAAATGGCGGCACTGTTCTCCCCCTGGGTTCCCACGTTAATAAAATAACAACACTTCCGGTGTGCCAGGTGTTCCCCAACCACTTTATACCTAGTCTGTCACTTCCTCTTCGTGATGAACCTGAGCGATAGGGACTGCTAGTCTCCACAATTTACAGCTAAGGAAACTGAGGCCCAGAGAGACAAGGTGACTTGCCCAACGCTGCACAGCCAGCAAGCAGAGCTGGTAGACTGGCTCCAGGATCTGTGTTCTGACCCCACAACTCCGTCCTGTCCCCCTCCCACCGTTTCTTCACTGGGGAGGGACCAGTTCGGTTGGATGATGAGCATGTAGGTTTTTTCCAGTTTGGGCCTGTTTGGACAGTGCTGTAGTGAATGCTGTCCTGGAGCCTCCTGCTGCCGGCCTGAGGCTCCCTGGAGGATCCACTGGTCAAGGGATAGGTGATATTTTTTGTTTTCACAGCTACTGTCCCATCAATGACTGCCCCCCACCCCCACCCCAGGGCCTATCCCAATAATCCAATGCCACGTAAAGGTGTGAAAACTGCAAACCTCATCAGAGTTGGTTATTGTGACAAATGTTGCCTATTCTGAAGGGTGAAATGGGGGTCTCGGGAAGGAGCGTATCTTAGAGAGGCGCGAGCGGGGATCTCCTGTCTCCCACCGCATCACCTCCAGCCCCCAGACCGGAAACCGCCCCCCACCCCCCTACGCCCAGGAGGCAGGGGCGGGGACCAGCCAGGCCGCTTCCCGGGAGGAAGGAAGGGCCAGGACGTTTCTGAGACAGGATGCGCTGTGAGGGCCCCCTCCCCAGCCGCCAGGGACTTCCCGGGGCGGGCTAGGTTCTCGGGGGATCTGCTCCCACGCGAACGCACTGAACTGCCGCAGGGGGGGGTGGGGCTCCCGTCCTCCCACCGACGTCCCACTAGGGTGTTATGGGTCAGGACTCCAAGTGGGTGGCGCTAAAGTCTCCCATGTTTCCCAGGAAAGAATCAGGTGGCCGTGGAGGCGAGCGAGGCTAGATTCCCCAGGGAGCACACTGCCGGAGGCGGGGAGTGGGGGGCGGGGTGGGTGGAGGAGGCAGGAGGAGAGCCGGAGGCGGGCGTTCCGGGACGGGTCCGCCCTCCACCGCACCCTCCTCCTTCCACCCTAGGGCCTCGGGGTCAGGTCCCCCGGGGTCGCAGAAGGCTCGCGGCGCCGAAGCCAGCCGTCTGGAGGCGGGGCGGCCGCTTTCCCGGAGGCTCCCGCCGTCCTCACTGTCCGCACCTGCGGCTCCTTTGTCCTCCCAACAGCCACCCCGCCACCCGCCCTGGGGCAACGCCTTACAGGCCCTCTCTTAGATCAGCGGTGGGTGAATTATGAGCGTTTTCGGCTCTCGGGTGACTGAAACGGAGCTGGGTTGGACCCAAACCAAATAACTAGGGTTCTCACGGGCATTTCTAACTCTACAGCCGCCTCGAGGGAAAGCTGTTTAGAGGCCCACTTCACAGATGAGGAAAACTGAGGCTGGGAACTCACCTTTCAGCCTGAGTCACACAGTTATACCGACCGAGATCACAATAGGGGTGTAAAGAGCGCTCCAAAGCTCACAACCCCGCAACCCGTGGGGCCCCGGCCAAAGCGGGTTCAGTTGATCAAGCGGGGCGGGGGGTGGGGTGAGATTTGCCTTCCTTCCAAAGTCTCCGAAGGAGGCGTGGCCCTCCCAATTCGCCTGGGGCACTGAACCCAGCAATATCCCCCCCACCGTCTCAAACTCGGCAACCCCCCCGCCCCGGAGTTGTAGAATGTCGAAGAAACTCCCAAATATGGGGGAGCTTAGGCAGTCGGAACACCAGGGCACCCGGCACGGAAACGCTCTGGCAAAGAAAAGGGGGCCCAGCCCCATCCCGCCCACTCAACCCACGTGATAGCCGGTCAGACCGGTTTCTGGGGCCCCAACAAGCCGCAGCCAGCTCCTGACCCCTTAACCCTGCCCCTCCCCCACCAGGGAAGAAAACCAGACAGGCCGGGCAGACTTTATTCAAATGGTCTTTATTTTATCTGGCGTTTCTAGCAGAAGGCCAGATAGATGAAATTAAACAGAAACCACCACAGTAAAGGTAAACAGGCCTCAGGACGCCCTGGCAAGAATCTTCCCCTCCCCAAACTGGCCCAGTCCTACCAGCAACTGGTCCCAGCTCAGCGTTACAGCCCTCTGAACACCCGCACCAATTTTTGTGATTCAGACCAGGACTGTCTGGGTTGTGTCTGTGTGTCTGAGAAATGGTCACGCTTGAGACAGTGAACATATTCCCACCTCTAACGCACCAGATGAGAAAACTGTAACCTGAAATTAGAGCAGCACCCCCGCCCCCCGCCGCTTTTCACCCGAAGGCTCAGGGGCGCGGGGCACAAGCCCGCAGCAAGCGGGGCGAGGTGACTCAGGAGGCCCTCCTCCCATTCCCCAGGGCGGTTCACACCCCAGACCCTCCTCCCAGGCCCCACACCCACGCAAGGCAACAGGAAGCTCCCCACGTCTGCCCCATGACGCAACGATGACCGCCTGCACAAGTATGTCACTCGGTGGGGGAAGGGGAGCGCCTGCCTGGAATTATTTTCTGAGGTTGGAAATGCAAACACCAACTACTGAAAAACCTTGAAAGGGCAGCACAGCTCCCACTGAAAAATAAAGTCCGACCCTGAGGAGTTTAAAGAACCAAGCCTCCCTGCTCCCAGTCCCAGAAGGAGAGAGGGAAAGGTCCACGTCCCAGTCCGTTAAGACAGCACCTGTGGGCGCAGCAGGTCTCGGCGGAAGGCGCTCGCGCTCCCGGCTCGGGCTCCTCGGCGCCGCCGCTGCACACAGGCGGCGACGGCTCCCCGGGGGCAGAGTCCCTCTTCAGGCCTCTCCGCAGCCTGGGGGAGCAGCTCCTCTCCACGGTTTCGGCGGGCACTCCCCCGGGGATGGACCTCGCCTCGGGTCTGCGCTCTGCGGCCGACGGTTCGGCCCGCGCTCTGGGCTCCGGTGGCGCCGCTCAGGGACCCTCAGAAGGCCACCACGGCCCGCACGAGCACGTTCAGCATGCTGTCCGCGGGGCGGCAGGCCGGCTTCGCCTCGCACGCCGGCGGCGCCGTCGGGGGGGCGGCGGGGCTGCAGTTCAGGAGGCCGGAGAAGCGCCTCTGGAGGACGCGCGCCAGGTTCGGGAAGGCGCCCTCGGCTTGCGCGGGAGGTGGCTGCAGGCGATCAGGGACCTCCGCAGAGGCTCCTTCCCCCTCTTCTTCTAGACGGGCTTTCTTGCTTGGGACCAGTCCGACGTCCCCGCCGTCACTCAGACTGCTGTTTCGCCGCTTTCGGCTGACTTTGGCGGGGCGTGGGGCACAGCGGGCTGGGGTCTCCTCGGCTGGCGGCGCCTCCCGCGTGTCCATGGGCTCCGGGGAGGGCTGCTCACCGTCGGGGGGCGCTGCCTCGACTACAGCTTCCGCTTCCCGCGACTGGTGCAGGCGAGGATCAGGGGAGCGAACAGGCGGCAAGGGCACCTCGGGCTCGTGGGCTTCCACCTTGGCTGAGAGGTAGAGCTCTCGGGCGCTGCGCATGACCAGCGATAACTGCAGACTCCGGTGCAGCCGCAGGCCACCGCGTTGCATGCGGGAATGGTACATCTTCCACACCGACAGAGTCATGATGCGCTGCGCCTCCTTCTGCACTTCCATGGCGGCTCGACGGCGGGGGCGACGGCTGCAGGGACTCCCTGGCTGGGCAGGGCTGGTAGCAGGTGCACTCCGGGCAACGCGCTCGCTCACGCTTCTCCGCTCAGGCCAACCCACGCTGTGACACTGCTAGGACGCTCTGCCCCGGCGCCCGCCACCCGGGCCCTTTTGTACCCGGAGTGAAGTCACCGAGACGCCCCGCCCAATCGGAGAGCCGCATCCGGGCTTCCCAACGCACCGCTGCGAGAGGCTCCTTAAAGCGACAGGGTGGGATTTACCGAACGGGGGGAAAGGGACGTGAGTCGGGGCGAGGAGGAGCGTCCCCCAGTCCAGGCGGAGCTCTCGGGGTGGTCTCCTTTCTCAGGGCCCTCAATGAGCTAGCGCGCAGGCCCCGAAGACGCGGGCCGCAGATGCCGGGCAGAATCCACCCACGTGCTTGCGTCTGAAACCCCAGCTGGTTGTAGGCGGCAAGTTTCCCTTCGCGCCGGGGAAGACCGGGGTTCGAACCGGTACATCCCCCGTGGGCACAGTTCCTAGCATCTACCAGGTGTCTAATGTTTTTTTGAATCAGTAACCGATTAATGTTTTTTTAATAAATAACCGTGCTAACACTAGTAAGTCCTACCCGCCAGGCGCTGTTAAGGGTTTCCTTTACAAAATACCTCACTGATGCCTTACCTCCACTCCGCAAAGGGTACTGTTATACCTGATTTCTTCAGGCGGGGCAATCGAGACATAGTGACTCGTTCAGTATTTGCTAAACGAACAAACAGGCCACTGGGGCCTCCAGCTCCTGCGTATCTCTAGCGTAAGCCAGCCCTCCTCACTCCCCTTGTAGGCAGTGAGGCGGCGGGCAGCGCTGCTGGCCCCAGGGCATAGCTGCCCATTCCACGGGCAGCGGATGTCTGCAGACACCAGCGCAGCCCGCGCTGCCATTCCCGCGCTCCACACCGAACACCCCCCAGTTTCCCTCTACAAAAGGTCCACGGCTGGGCTGGGTACTCGCAAGACGGAGGACCCGGCAACAGGACGGGCCGGGAGAACACGTGGCAGCGCCCCTTGACTATACGGCCCTGCTCCGCCTTTGCCTCCCGGGACGCGAGGTTGGGGTAGGAGCTGTAAACTGAGCAACGCAGAGAGCAGACAGATGGAAAACATCGGCCCCACCCTCCGCTACGCCCTATCGCTCCAAGAAAACCTATTTCCAGTTTCTCCAAAATAAGATGCAAAACTGTTCCTACAGCTCCATTCATTCGTGGCAAGGGCCCTTTAAGGAAAGGCTCCTCTCTCCCCCCGCCTCCCCCAGCCGCCGACGGGCGGGCAGAATCTTCCGGCCACTGGAAGCGCCAGACTTCCACGACTAAATTTGGATATAATGACGTAGGGCAGGCGCGCGAGCCGCTTCCGGCTGCCCATATAAGGACAGGGGCCGGGATCTCCACTCTGAGCTGTGGCGGCCTCCTTCCGGGCGGGTGGGGGCGGTGCCTTGGCCTCCGGACACGCCCCTTCCCTCCTCCTCCCCCTCTCCCGGCAGCTAGGATTGGCTGTAGTCTCCGGCTTCCGGACCAGAGTCCAGCCTGGCGGGCTCCTGAGGCCCAGAAGGCGTGGTTGCCTCCGGGAAAACCTCCGCCGGCACCTGGGGCAACCTCAGGGCTTCCACTCACACCAACTCCCTGAGACCCTCCACAAAGACCTTGCCAACACAACGGGCGATTCGCTGAGGATCCCTTCATCCTTGTTCCGCCATAAAGACCCCACAAAAATTTCTCCCTACAAGGTTCTCTCCCAGGTATTCCTGCCCCCCCCCCCCCCCACCCCGGGCAAACCACGCAACCTTGGAGAACCCTCACGCACCGCCTTCCTCCTCGTCCCCCCCACCCCCGCACATGGGGACTCAGCAATTATTTGCTCTTAAAACTGTGCCTATTCAACGATCCTGCTACACTAGGGCGACCTGCTGAGGACGCCCCCATCTCCCCCTGCACCACCTCGGCGAATCCACAAGGACATCCCCAGCCCAGGCGCTATCTCAGACTCTGTGCAGCGACTCTGAAGCACAGGGGCACACAGACTCTCCAAGAACTTAAGACATCCCGCCCCGATCTCTCCAGAAACAGACCACGACCCCACTCAGGTGATAGCTCACCTCTGAAAAAATCCATTTCCGGAGACCCCACACAGAGCGCCTTTGTCACACAGGGGTCTACTCTGAGTCTGTCTCCAGGCATTCCTGGCCCCTCCCCAGATGGAGAACCCACACGCAGAGGACTTCCTTGTACCTACAACAACCCTCAGAGCCACCACCACACCCCCTCCCGCGACTGCCATCTTCGCACCCAGAAAGACTACACACCCCAGGAGCATCTCTGGGGCCCCCACTCAGCCACCCCGCCCCAGGTCGATCTCGAGGCGCCCTTCCTCCGTAGGAAAAAAAAAAAAAGAGGGAAGAGCCCAGTAGAGGAGTCCAAAAAGACTTCGCACCTCCATTCCCGCGGGAGAGTGGGGAGGACCATCATTTCCCTTCCCAATCCTAGGCTGGGGAGATCTCCCAGGTCAGAATCAAGGTGCAGGCTCAGCAAATCTCTGAAGAGGATCTCTGAATCGAATGATCCCTTTCCCCGGCCATAATCTCTGATTTGAAGGAGGTTATTATTATTCACATTGCCCCAAAGGGAAACAAGTTGCCCAGCAACAATCCAAAGGGCTTGGTCTCGAACTGAGTGATCAGGGCTCCGATCCCCCAACCCAGCCAAACATAACTGGAACATTGCCGGTGGCGGCGGGGTACGCGAACGCGAAGCCTTCTGTGCCCACAATAAAGATGGCCGAGAGAAGGGCGGAAGTTTCCGCACGTCGGGCCTCCGAAGCCTCTCTTTCTACTCTGGCGTACCCGCTCTCGATGGTGGTACGAATCACGTGACGGGGGCGGGGGTGGTGGCACGTTCCCCACTACTGGGAGGGAACCCGCTACCAAAGCCGAGAGGGGGGGGGGGGCTCGGCCTCGGGCGGGGGGAGGGGGTGTGACATGTCTCTCGAAGACCCATTTTTTGTTGTCCGAGGGTGAGTGACAGCAATGAAGGAGGGAGGAGGGTGCTCGGGCCCCGTGCCAGCTAGTGCCCGCGTGCCCGCCAGAGCGTGCTAGGCGGTCTGGGCACGGCCGTCGGGGTGCGCCAGCCAGAGGGTCTAGTGGGAGGGATATGCAGGGGGGTATCAGGGTATCCTGAGACGCCCCACTCATTTGGGGGCGCAGTGGCGGGCGGGAGGATCGCCGGCCCCCAGCCATGACCGCTGTGTGTGCCCCGGCCCGCAGTGAGGTGCAGAAGGCGGTGAACACGGCCCGCGGGCTGTACCAGCGCTGGTGCGAGCTCCTGCAAGAGGACGCGGCCGTGGGCCGCGAAGAGCTGGACTGGACGACCAATGAGCTGCGGAATGGCCTTCGCAGCATCGAGTGGGACCTCGAGGACCTGGAGGAGACCATCGATATCCTGGGGGGCGTTGCAAGGCGTGCTGGGAGAACCCATTGCTGTGGCAGGGGGCGGCTGGACTCCTGGGAGGAGTTAAGGGCTTGAGGCAGAGGACAGGGTTGTGTCTGGCTTTGGCCTTGACTCCTGACTCGGGGTTTACGCATAGTTGAAGCCAACCCAGGAAAGTTCAAGCTCCCAGCCGGAGACCTGCAGGAGAGAAAGGTGTTCGTGGAGCGGATGCGGGAGGCAGTCCAGGTGAGGAGAGTTTCAGTGGCCTGAGTGCGGGGAGGTTGGGGTGTCTTTACTCACTATGGCGTCCTCTCCCGCAGGATATGAAGGACCATATGGTCAGCCCTGCAGCCATAGCCTTCATGGAGAGGAATAATAGAGAGGTAAGCCATCCAGACCCAATATCCTCACCAGAGCCTCTCAGAGAGACCCTCCCCTTTGCGCATGATCCTGACCCTTCTGTGTTAGTTCACCTGTCCCCCTTGCGTTGTCTGTCCCTTCTGTGTGCGTGTCTGTTCTCTCTGCATGCACTTGTCTCCTGGCTGTCCACCTGCTTGCTCTTTCTGGTTGTGTACAAGTGAGCCCTCTCTGTGCATATAGTCCTTCCTGCCTCCTGGTGTGGGTCTGGATGTCTGTTTCCTTTCTCTTTTTTTGCTTGGTGTGTTACTGTTTCCAAGATGTATGCCTACTTTTCTGTGTCTGTACCCAGGCATCTGAGCAGGAGAACTTGGCCTCTGAATTGCCCCCTGTGGTTGGCTTGCGTACCATTTCCCCCATGAGTGTGCCTGCTCATGCCTTTTGTGGGCACTCTCCCAGCTGCCTCTGTTGGCACACTTTTTCCTTCTGTGTCATGCGTCCATTCTTTGCATGTTATGAAACCCACCTGTCTCCATCCCACTGTGGGATCTGGGAGGGTGGGGGGCTGAGTTTGGAGCCCCGTATCAGAGCCCACATGCTTTCCAGGTGTGCTGCCTGGAGGATTAAGGTCCAAATTCTTAAATATATCTGTTTATATGATAAATGTTCTCCATGGATTAATTTGGTCAATCCTCATTCCAGCCCCAGGAATTTCCCCCATTTTACAGATGAGGAAACTGAGGCACAGGGAGGTCAAGTGATATGGCCTTGGGGTCACCTTGCTAGTAAGTGGTGGGTCAGGGGAATCCAGGCTATCCCATTCCCAAGACTACCTTCCCAACAACCATCTAGATTTGCCACAGACCTGTGTCTGGCTCTGTTCTGAGTGGCCGCCTCTCCCTGAATCTGTGCCCTGTGCCTCCATAGATGCTGGCAGGCAAGCCAGCCGCCCAGAAGCCATCCAGCGATCTGCTGGACGCCAGCATGGCCTCAGCCGCCTCCCGTTACATTGAGGAGCAGCAGGCCACACAGCAGGTTTGTGTGGGTGGTTGGGGAGCCCCGGGGTGGGAGGAGCCTGGACACGGCTCAGGACCCCTTGCTGATAGCAGTTCCCACTCCTTCAATCTGCAGCTGATCTTAGACCAACAGGATCAACAGCTAGAAATGGTGTCTGGGAGCATCCGGGTTCTGAAACACATGTCCGGCCGTGTTGGGGAGGAGCTGGACGAGCAGGGCATGTGAGGCCAGGATCCTGCTGGGGGTGGGAGGGGGAGGCGGGGCTGGGAAGCCTCAGTTGGCTGCACCAGTGCGCCCAGCACTTCTGGGGGTTTACACCATCTTGGTCTCGACAGCATGCTGGATGCCTTCGCTCATGAGATGGACCACACCCAGTCCCGGATGGATGGGGTCCTCAGGAAGATGGCCAAAGTATCCCACATGACGAGTGGTAAGACCCCTTGGGGAGGCAGCTGGGTGGGGGGTGGCAGGGGTGGTACCCCGTCCCCCTGTAACCTCTGACCCTTTTGCCCCCAGACCGCCGACAGTGGTGTGCCATTGTGGTGCTGCTGGGGGTGCTTCTTCTGGTTCTTATCCTGCTCTTCTCTCTCTGACCCTGGCCCTCCTGAGGGCGCTGGTCCCTCTAGGTGGGAGAGCTGGCAAGGTCCTGCCCCCACCCTGGGAGAAGGGATTCCTTCCTGGGAAGCTGTCCCAGGGTTCTCATCCAGAGCCAGTGGGACCCTCAGGGCCACAGCCCCTCCACTGGTCCTGTCTTAAGTGCGCTTAGGAGGTGGTACAGGTAGGGGAACCTCCGATACACCCCTCCCCCTTTCTACTCTGGTGCCCCAAAGCCATTTGCTCCTGTGCCTTCTGCATGTGCCAATTTGGAAATAAAAGCTCAGCCTTTTTTATACGTTTGTATCCTACGGTGTGTTGATTTGTGGCTCACGAAGTGGGACTCCTGTTTTACGCGCCCCGCTTGCACACACTGTGGGGCCCAGGCGTGTGCATGTGTGTATGCGTGTGTGCACGTGCATACGCGCACACATGCCTGTGAGGGATTTCAGTGGTCAGGATTTGTGTGGAAAAGACCATTCCAGTTTATTTCTGGGTTTCACCACTGATAACGTTGAGTAATGCCAACCCTGATTCTTCCTTGACTCAGCGAATCTTCTGCTTGTTCTGGGCCTACCGCAGGCCAGGCCCTTCCACACAGAGCTGAGCTGTTGGTTCTGAGGGGTCCCAGTAGCGCCGGATTCCGTGGCTCACCTGGTCACCGAGGCAGCGTTTGTCAGCTCTGGGGTTTCCGAGCTTGTCTGGGTGTAAAAGGATTCCTGTGAGCTGGGAAAACTTTTAAGTGCCATGAACCTTAGCCAGCGTCTCAGGAGGTTCAAATCCCGTGCAGTATGCGGTCAGACATCAGAACCATGCCTCTCGGTCGCTCATTTACGCACTGGGAAGTACTGCCTGTTACAAGAATGTCCTTACATCAGGCTCATCTGTCCGATCTTAAAAAGAACCAAATAGGTACAGATTCCCTTTCTGATGCAAACCCACTGATGCTATGGCTTGGGTTTGCTTGATCTTTGTATAGTTAGTTCCAAGTCTTCCTGGGGTTCAAAGACAGGACTTCTGGAATCAGATGGTGTTTCCACTTACCTGGGGCAGCCTTCCTGTTCAGAGACTTCCCGTTACCTGAAGTGACTGGTTTTTCTGTTGATGCCACTGGCTCTCAAAACCCTACTTTCTGGCAGCTGGTTGGGGCGGAGGGCTGGTTTTCTTGACACATCCAGGCCTCCCTAGGAACTGAAATCCCCTTTGATCATCTCCCCATGATGTCTGGATGCTCCCCTAATTGGGGAGTGGGCAGGCCTGGCCTGGGCAGGGGATGAAGCCTCCCTTCCCAGATTATTTTCTGACTTGACAGGACCCCTAACATTGATGAATAACCTTCCCACGCTACTAGAAATATTTCTGAATCGGGGTACCTTACAGCCCATCTGTGTCTTTTCCATCAGACCTGAGAGGACATTTTGTCCTTCCCTATCCTCAGGACCCACAGCCGTCCACGGTACTTTAAAGGGACACTGGCCAAATGTGACTCGCCATCCCCACTCCTGTTCCTTCCAATGCAGGAGCGCATGGGCGCCCCAGCTCAGCCGCGGTGAAGGGTGTGGGTGTGTTCAGGATGCAGATCTGAGACTAGGGGTGTCAAACGGCCACAGAAGGGGAACGAGCCAGTCTGTCTGTCCTGCAGCCAATTCAACAGAGGCCCTTCTTGGGGGGTGATCCATGGGACACGGGACCTCGGGCCCATGCATGTGCAGAAGAGCTCCAGGGCATCGTGTCTGTATACACTAGGGTAGCCAGAAGGGTGCTATTAAGTGGAAGCTACTTAACAAGCCCCAATGTGGGGCTTAAACTCACAATCCCGCAATCAAAAGTCCACACTCTTGCGAGCAAGCCAGCCAGGCGCCCCGTTCCAAGGGGCAGCTACTGGCAGCTTGGGTTTGAGCCTCTGAACTGGGGGTTCCCCATCTGAATGGGGGAAACCGCCCCCACCCCTCACACTGAGGTTCTGAGATGTGATGCCTGCAACGGCAGTTCCCCAGCCCCCACTGAGCCTGCAGCGAGGGCCCTGTCTGTCCACCCCCCCCCCCACCGTGTGTAGCATCTGTCCCTCCCTGGGCCCCGCCCCCAGAGAGCAGCATGCGGCAGGGCTGTTACAAAGGCGTTTAGTTTATTCTCCTCATCAGTGTCACTGATATTCTCATGGTTCACATTTCCCAGTGCGGCTCCTCTCCTTACAGTAGTTAATGTGCAATCTCACTTACGGGCCCGGGGAGTGGGGGGTCGGCCCAGGGCGGGGAGGCCGTTGGCACTTCACACGGACAGGGCGGGCGGTCTGTCCTGCGTGAAAGAGGCGGGTGAGTGGGCGGCCAGGGGAGGCGGAGGGGGGGCCCCCCACAGTCTTTTTTTTTTTTTGCGTTGGTTGGTGATTCTCCATTCGTGCTCCTCCCTGGGCTGCCCGGGGTTGGGGGAACCATGCAGCTCAGGGCAGGGCAGGGCAGGGCAGGGGTAGGGAGAGAAGGAAAAGCAGCAGGCCGCCCAGGAGGTGGGGAGGGCAGGGCGGGAGGGACGCAGGGGTGGCTCCTGGGGTAAGGCACAACCCTGTCTTTGGCTCTCCTGGTGAGGAGTTTCCTCCCCTGCACCCCTGCCCACCCCCCTCCCCTCCCTTCCCCTCCAACACAGTCCCCGGGGCCAGGGGCACCTCCTGGGATCCCTGAAATGAGGGGGCTCTGCCACCCAAACCAGTGCTGCAGGGGCTTGGAGGAGGGACACGGGCAAGCCCCACCCGGGGACAAGGCAGGGAGGGGCTGGGCAGGGGCCTATCCAGGACAAAGGGCTGCGGAGGGAGAAGACCCCAGTCCCAGAGAGCTGGCCCCTGCTAAGGCCTGGAAGGAGGGCAGCGCCTAGGACTCCTTCCTTGTGGGGTCTGGCTGGAGCCCCAGCCGGCCCCTCGGCCTTGGCCGGCCCGGCAGCTTGCCAAGTGACCAGGATATTGTGCTTTGGGATCGATGCTGGGGTAGGATGTCAAGGCCAGGACAAGGGCGTGGGGGAGGTGCGACTAAGGTGCTTGTGCTTTAGCTGGGGCGTCGACTCCCCCCCATACACTGGGCCGGCTGAGGGCTAAGGTGCGGAGGCCAGGCCAGGAAAGCAGGGTGCCAGGACACTGGCCGGACCAGACACCCCCCATCCCCACAACAAGCTGTCAGGAGCGACCCCCTTGCAGACCGGTGGGGGCTCCTGGGTGGTGGGGGAGGCCTCCAAGTCAGATACCAAGGGTCCAGTCAGGGCTGGCCGCCACCCCCCTCTCCCCACCTCCTGCAATCCCCCTGCCTCTAGAAAGGCCGCTGGGAGCAATGGGAGCAATGGGCCGGTCAGATTGGGGAAGAGACGAGAGGCAGTGGGGACAGGACTAGAGAGGAAAAGGTGAAAATTGTGAAGAAAAGGACACCCAGTGTGGGGGAACAGGGAGTAAAAAAAAAAAAGGAACCCTCCAAAGTTCACATGTAAAATTCAAAAAAAAAAAAAAAAATTCCTCGTACTGGGCGAGGAAAGGAAGAGGAATGGTTAGAGAAAATTCTGCAAACTGCTAACAATGGAAGCGGGCCCTGCCTTGTCCCCAGAAGCTGGGCTCAGCCAACGGGCTAAGGCCAGGGCCACCCCTCAAATGGAACCCCGCTGGGGAGCAGCGGAGCAAGGGGGTCCTGGTCAGACCCACAGAGCCCAAGCAGAGGCCTGGCCGAGTCCCAGCCTCAGAAATGCGCACCCACACTCCACACACATGCACGCATTCACCCTGCCCCCAGCCCCCACCACGTCCTGCCTGTCACGTCCCCCAGGACTGAAGGGGACATCAGACACAGTCCCGTTGGTTTGAAAAATAAAAGGAATCTTATACTTCAATATTTCATTAGCTAAAAAAATGCTTTAAAAAGTATGTACAGAGGCTGGGGCCAGGGGGTAGGGGTGGGGGAGGGGGGCAAGGGCAGTAGCCCCCCAGCCTGCTCCCCTGACTTCTAGCCCTGGCCCTACTGCCTCTCATATCTTCATTTGTTTAAAAGCAAAAACGTCTACACACACACACACACACGCACGCACGCGCACACATACGCACAACTTCCGCGAGCCCAGGAAACCTCTCATTCTATTCGCAGAGACCTGTGGCCTGCCTCCAAGAGCCCCCCCACTTGGGACCTGCCCCTCTCAGGCCCCAGGGGACAGATGGGGGCAACAGAGGTGGACGCAGGGTGGGGGGTAGGGGAGAGAAGGGCGCCGGGCCCGCCACCGCCCACCACCTTAGGTCAATGGTGGAGTTCCTCTGAGCCTGGGTTCCCTCAGCTGTGAAATGGGTAGTCCCCTCGGCCTCGCCTACCCCAGCCCCCAGGTGCAGGGACAGACGAGGGAGTCAGGAAGGCGCTTTTGGAAACATGGAAGCACTGGGAGGTGGTGGCAGGAGGGGTCCTGAGAACCCTGGGGCCCCGGGCCTGGGGAAGGGGCCTTCCTGAGCCCCCCAGGCCGGCCCCTCCCCATACCTGGCCTGGTGAGTGGGGAGACCACTGCTGGAGGTTAGGGGAGGGGGAGCGCAGGCTCCCCAGCGGTGCCCGAGCATGCTAGAGAGGCAGCGCAGAGCTCGCACCGGCTGCTGCCCTCTCCTAGCCCACTCGGATGGTGGTCGGAGGGTGGGATGAGGAGGCAGAGGGGCTGGGAGCATGCAGCGCCCCCCGCGGGTCCTGGGGAGGGACAGACAGTAGCTCGTGACCAAGATGGTGGGTGGGTGTGATGGGGTCGGGTGGGGGGAGTGTGACGGCCCCGCGGGGAGGGTCCGGTGGTAGTTACTGGAGGGCCTCGGCCGAGGGGCCGGCCTCGCCGTCGTGGCTGGCCGTCTCAAAGCTGTGCTCCACGCCCATCATGTCCGGCTCTATCTTGCCCGTGTCGCTGATGAAGGTGGTGTAGGCGTCGCCCTCGGCCATGAGCACCTTGAGCTTGGGGATCCAGCTCTTCCGCACGACACGGCGGGCATTGGTGCACATGTCAGCTGCGATGGCGTTCATCTCGCTCTCCTTGAAGTTGGGAGCAAAGTTCTGGCAGTAGTCTGCGAGGGCGGAGCACACGGCTCAGGCAGAGCGCAGCACCGGCCTCTGACACCGGCAACACTCACCCGCATTGCACCTTAACCCCCCCCCACGTGCATGTGGCACCCCTGAACCCCCCTTCTGAGGTGAGAGAATGGAGGCCTCACAAGCCAGGAAGCTAAACCGCACCAGTCGGCTCCATGCCTGAGATCGGCCAGGTGTGGGATCAGAGAGGGTGCCCCAGTGCTCTTGAAAAACCTGGGTCATTTGCCAGAATTTAGGAATGGTGAGATTCCAGGTGAAAACCTAGACTTCCCTCCTGAAGATGGCTGGGGACTGGCTGCTTCATTGCTCCCATGACTACCCAAGGACCCTTCCCCTGCCCCCCACCATCTGACACAGGCTTACCTTCAGTGTCCACCCCCCCCCACCCCTGCAACTGTGAAGAAATCTGTAACCCATCCCAGTCCTCTTCCTAACAAGTTCAGACTCAGCCTCAGAATCCTTCTTAACATTAATCCCCACCCACCTATCAGGGTCAACAGCGAAGAGGACCATCTGCCTGCCCCAGACCCCACCCCAGCCTGACTCCAGACGGCCAGATACTCACATTTGACAGCGTGAAGGACGCGACTGTCCAGCGGTTTGCGGCTGGGGTTGTTGGAGGAAGAGCGGATGCCGGTGCCACAGCTGTTAGCCAGCGTGTTCCTGAGGTGGGGAGCATGGGTGTGGGGTGGAGTCAGGCCCTCTGGGGGGGGGGGGCAGCCGTCCTCCCCTCCATCTGGGCTCTGTGAGGGCCTCACCGGTCAAAGAAGGAAGCCAGGAGGCGCCGCAGCAGGACCTTGTGCCGCGTGCCCGCGCTGACGTGGCAGTTCATGAGCTGCGCCCTCGTGATGTACACATTGGTGCCTGGAGTGGGGAGCAGGAGGGTGGCCGGGGGCCCCAGACTGCCCCGTTCCCCACTTGGCCAAGCCCTGGCCTGGGCCCGGCCAAGACAACCCCTGACAACTCGCCCCGGCATGGCCTGGTCAGCGATCAGGAAAGGCCAGCTGGTGGTGCCACTGTCCACGGGGCACCTAGAGCGTGACGAGCCCGCTTGCGCTCGTGTGGCTTCTGCCCACACAACCACCTGGGCACCAGAAAGAACAGGCAGTGGAAGCTCACACCAAGGCAACCTGACACCGAGAGCCAAGATTCTTAACCACCATGTTAGTCAACCCTCCGAACACCCCACGAAGCCGCTCATCAGCCCGTGTGGCCAACGGTGCCCGTCAATGCTCATACCAGCCTCTGGTGTGGAAACCTGGAGGCCAGTCTCGGGCACGTATAATGCCAAGGGGGGTCAGCTGCCCTAGGGCAGAGCCAGCAGGTGGTAGCAGGGGTGGGGTTAGACCCCAAGTCCAGCTCCTAACCACCATCCCACAAGCCACTAGCTCAGAGGACACAGAAGCCCGACCCTGGGGCGAAGCAGGGAATCTGGGGAGGAAGTGATGCCGGCCCACCTGTCACCAGCTCCAGCTTCTCGGAGGGGTCACCCTCATCGTAGAGCTTGGGGTGACAGCGGTTGCCAATCTGGTTGATGAGCTCAGCCGGGAGAGACGCCAGGTCCTGCCGCACCCGGATGCGATTCCGGGACTCAGGGGCCACCTGCTCAGGGAGGGCCTCCACCTTCTCGGCTTTGGGGGCAGAGAGCAGCATGTGTTGCGGAAGGGGGCTGGCTGCGGGGGGGGGGGGGGGTGTAGGGGCAGGGAAGGGGTGGGGCGGGCAGGGCAGGCGCCTCACCTGTCTGGCCGACATTCATCATGCTGTACATGGTGTACATGTTACAGATCTGCCGGTACTGCTCGTCTGTGCCCTCCTCGCCAGCATCCTCCTCCTCGTCCTCCTCGTTGTGGTAGGAGCCAGGGCTGTCGCTGGTGTAGGCGCTTGAGGTGCCCGGGCTGGTCCGCTCTGACGTGCTGGGCCCACTCACCACGCCCCCTGCTGCCGCTGCTGCCGCTGTGGCCGCCGCTCCCCCCGCCGGCTGCCCAGTGCCAGCCCCTGCAGCCGCTGCCACCGCCACCCCGGCTGGCTGCGCCGCTGCCACCACTGGGGCCTGCTGGGGTGGCCGGTTGGCAGCCAGGTCCGGCGTGGAGAACTTGGCCATCTTGCGGCTGCCATTGCCACCGCCACTGCTGCCGCTGTCCCACAGCCGCTTGGCCACCGGCGTGCACTGCACGGAGTCCGACTCCTGCTGCTCCGTCTTGACGCGGGACACAAGGGGCAGCGGGGTGCCACAGGCCGGCCAGCTGGATGTCTGGGCCACGGGGCTCTGGGGCTCGGATGACGGGGCCTCCTCGGCGTGCAGGCCCTGCGAGTCGCAGCTGGGGGAGCTCACCTTGAGGAAGAATTCAGTGCCCTTCTCCATGATCTCCTGGATCTGCAGGAAGCCGGCCGTGTACATGAGCAGGAACTGGTCGCCCACATTCATGCTCAACCGGCCCGTGTAGCAGAAGCTGAGGATCCGCTGGAAGGACTGGGGCTGCACGGCGGCCGGCAGCTCCACCACCGCGCTTCTGCTGCTGTTGAACAGGTCCCGAAAGTAGGAGCTACTGGCGGCCAGCACCGCCCGGTGGGCTTTAAAGGCATGGCCCTTGACCACCACAGACACGTCACAGTATAGGCCCTGTAGCCGCTGCTCATTCAGACATTCCAGAATGCTGTTACCAAAGTTCGGGATCTCCATCTGCAGGGTCTGGGCCATGGCGGCAGCTGCACAGGGGACAGGGACAGAGAGACAGAGGGACGGGGTCAGGCAGCACACTCGGTGCCCCCCCGCCACTCACGAAGCTCACGTGCGGCAGGGAGACACGTGGGAGCAGACGTCCACATGGTGGGATTTGCCGTGGCGGTGAGAATTGCCGGCAGCCACCCACGCCTTTGGTCCCAGCACAGACTTGCCTCTATGACAGACTGTCCAATCAGGCATGGCAGCTCCAGGGCCGGGTGGCCACGGCGGCCCCTTCCGGTGGGGGTGTGGGGGCAAAAGTGTACGTACACATGTGTGTTTGAATACTAAATGAGTCAACACAGTGAAAACTCTGTGAGTGTTAGCCATCGCTAACACAGCACACACGGGGGAACTCTGAAGAGGACTGGCATCGAAATACCAAAGGGTCAGGGGCATCGGGGTCTTCGCACCGTGGCCGCAGTGCTGAGGACATGACCCCCCGATCACGTTGGCTGAATGACTAAGGGAGCACTCAGGGAACTCTGAGGCTGCACGAGGACAGCACCAGTCGGCAGGGAAATGCAAATGCAAACCACAACGAAACACCATTTCGTACCAGCTAGGCTGGAGAGAATCAAAAAGACAGACAACAAGTGTTGGCAAGGAGGAGATCGGAAGCCTCCTACACTGTGGCTGGGAATGTAAAATGGTGCAGTTGCTATGGAAAACAGTCTGGCAGGTCCTCAAGTGATTAAACACGAAATTATCATATGACCCAGCAATTCCAATCCTCAGAATTATACCCAGGAGAAACCAACACCTGTACCCACAGAAACACCTGTACGTGAGTGTCTAGGGCGCCACTCGCAAGCGCCAGAAAGACGGGAACAACCCAAACGTCCGTCAACTGATGAATGGCTTAAAAAAAAAAAAACCCCAGGTCCAGTCATATGATGGAATATTATTCACCCATATAAAGGAACGAAGCAGTGATACACACCATTCTAAGGGCAAACCTTGAAAACATGCTAATGCAAGAAGATGGACATAAGAACTGTGTATTATATGATCCCGTTTATGTAAGATGTCCAAAACAGGCAAATCCAGAGCCAAAAAAAGCAGACTAGTGATTGCCAGGGGCTAGGTGGGGTGTGGGGTAGCGAGCAGAAGGATGCGGGCGTTTCTTCTTGCCGTAACTTAAAATGGTCTAAAATTGTGGTCATGTGCACACAACTCTGAATAGATAATCGATCTTCGAACACCACGGGCTGGAACTGTGTGGGTCCACTTATACACAGAATTTTTTTCAATAGTTCAGGACTGCAAATGTATTTTCTCTTCATTATGATTTTTTTCTCCCCCCTCCCCTTTTCTTTAAAGTAATTTCTACACCCAAGGCAGGGCTCAGACTCACAACCCCAGGATCTAGAGTCGCCTGCTCTACTGACTGAACCCGCCAGGAATCTTATTATTTTCTTAGTAACATTTTTTTCTCTAGCTTACCTAATCACACAGAAGACATACAAGATACAAAATATGTGTTAACGGTTATCAGTAAGGCTTCTGATCATAAGTAGGCTGTTAAGTTCAGGGTGGGGGGACTTGAAAGTTGTATGTGCACTTTTGACCTTGCGTGCGCATTGGTGGGGGGCGTTAGTGCCCCTAACCCACTCGTCATTCAAGGGTCAACTGTACTGAAAACCATTCAACTATATGCTTTCAATGGAGTCCATGCTACGTGCAACTCAATAAAGCCAAGGAAGGAGATAAGAAAAAATTCATACTTGTCATGAATACTGTGGTTCCTTTGAATTTTGAACCTAGTGATCCTACTGCTTATTTACAAAAATAGATAATATTGGGGTGCCTGGGTGGCTCAGTGGGTTAAAGCCTCTGCCTTTGGCTCAGGTCATGATCCCAGGGTCCTGGGATTGAGCCCCACATCGGGGTCTCTGCTCTGTGAGGAGTCTGCTTCCCCTTCTCTCTCTGCCTGCCTCTCTGCCTACTTGTGATCTCTGTCAAAATAAATAAAATCTTTAAAAAAAAAAGATAATATCTCTATCTCAGAACAGAGTCTGCTTGGGATTCTCTCTCCTTTTCCCCCTCCCCCACTCTCCCTTTCTCTAAAATACACAAGAATAAAATTAATCTTTAAAGAAAAAAAAAAAAGGAGGGATGTCTGAGTAGCTCAGTCAGTTAGCATCTGCCTTTGGCTCAGGTCACAATCTCAGGGTCCTGGGATGGACCCCATGTCAGGCTCTCTGCTCAGTGGGGAGAGCCTGCTTCTCCCTCTCCCTCTGCAAGCCACTCCCCCTGCTTGTGCTGTCAAATAAATAAAAAAATAAAATAATAGTAATTTTAAAAAATAAAAATAAACTAAAAAAATAAAAAGGAACTGTCCGTGACCCTGCGCAGTGAGCGGAGGCACCTGTCAAATGTGAACTTCTGCTTCACAGCCTATTCCATCACTGCACATTCCAGCACATTCCAATCCAGAACTGGGCATGTCCAATAGTCTGAGTGCCCTCGTAAAAGGGCTCTGAAGGACAATGTGGCTTTACGACTGTACCCATGGTAAAAGTGAGTCCCCTGCAGTTCTATAAAATACAGGAGGCAGTGGTCCTGAATGGGCAGGATGGGTATGAGAAGAGTTGGGCTGGTGAGGAGAAAGGAGGAAAGCATGTGTGCAAAGGCCCTGGGGCAGGTACCAACGAGAGACCCCAGCTGTTTCCCCTCATTCCCAGATTAGCTTTCATGCGTCTTTCACATTTTCCACTCACTAGTGAGTCCCTCCTGAGCCGCCTCCACAGGCTGAACACTGGGACACAGGGGCCCTACCAGACTCAAATTATGCTGCACAGACTCATGGGCAAGTGCCAGCTCCAGAATCAACTCCCTCCTGGGAGCATGAACTCCAAATCTCTACTTGTCCATTTGGAAACAAATGTTGCTAAGGCCAACCCTATCACACAAATTCAGTCTGTCCTCTTGAACTTGCTGCATGTAGTGGAACCCTGAGACACCAGCAGGCCCCACCCCTCCCAGCACCCATGCTTCCAAAGAGCTGACCGGTGCCCTGCAGGAAGTTCTCTGAACCCTCTTAACAAACCTAGGGGGCCAATTTCATACTCCCAGTTCTCAGATGGGAAAACTGAGGCCACGGGGAAGCCAAGAACTGTTCCAAGGTCACTGGTGGGTAAGTAATAGGGACAAGATTCTGTGTGGGCACTGAAACTTGTGATTTCCCTTGGGTATGCCCTCTGCCTCCTTGTCATCATCAAAATCACGGTCACTGCCAGAAAAAACAATTTAGGGGCTAGGCGGAGACAGGGACTTTCCCATCAGAAGACAGCCCACTTCTTTCAAGGGCTCAAACTCAGTGCCAGGTGGGCTACGAGCTGACCCTCTGTGTGGAGACAGGAGAAACTGAGGCACTCAGAGCAGGCAAAGGACAGAATCCAGAGAGCCCGCTCTAGGGGACTCACAGCCCCAACCCAACTCCCAAGGCTGCCAAAATGAAGCTGCGGCAGGTACTGGGGCCCAAGTGACAGAGTCAAGGAAGTCAAGGGAAAGGTTAGCTCCCATCCCTGAAAGAGACCTCTAGACCCCCAGTTTGGAAAGCTCATACCGGAAGGGGGAGGACCAAGGCAGGAGAGGCCGGCAGTGGAGTCAGAGCAAAGCCCAACACCACACCTCGTTTCAGACGCCAATTCATCCCCTCTGTGCCGTGGTTTGTTCATCTATAAAATGGGGACTAATTTACCCAATCCACCCCGATAAAACGCAAGGCACGGGGGACAAGCTCTAAAGAAGACTGGCTATCCCCACATGCTGAGGTCTGGTGGGGGGAGAGACAAAGGGAGTGATACAGCCAGGAAGAGTGTGTCCCTGAGGGGCGGACTGGGAGTGAGGGACAGAGCAACCAACAGTCTGGGGCACGAAGGAGTGAGGCGCAGCCTGGAGACTCCCAGGAGGCCGGTGTTGGCTTGAGGCTGGGAGTACAGGGGCAACGGGGCTGCTGGGAAGGGTGTGGACAGGGGGTGCCTGCCCTGGTGAGGACAAATGTTTCTGAGGGAGCAGGGGGGAGCCTGAAGCAAGAGAGGTGCAGGCCCAGACCATCCTGGGGAAAACTGGCAGGAGCAGTGTGGAGAACGGAAACAGGTGAGAAGCTGAGGGCTGGGCTAGTGGTGGGGGCAGGCGGCAGTGGCAGGGATGGGAACAGAGAGGACAGTCAGATCTGTGAGTGCGTGGCTATGAAGAGGGGGCACCACGATAAGAATAAATGACTCCAGGGGCGCCTGGGTGGCTCAGTCATTAGGCGTCTGCCTTTGGCTCGGGTTATGATCCCGGGGTCCTAGGACGGACTCCCTGCTTAGTGAGTCTGTTTCTCCCTCTCCCTCTGCTCCCCGTGCTTGTGCGCCGTCAGAAAAACAAATAAATAAAAACTCTTCGGGCGGGGAGAGCGCAGTGGAAATAAAACAACTCCAATTTGGGATGCGGCAGCTGGTGGGGGCTGCAGGGGGCACTCTGAGGAGTGCTCCCAGCTGTGGTCCTCATGCCAGGTGCTGCTGCAGGAGCTATCCTTGGGGTTCCCTCGGGGGGGGGGCGCTAGTACTGCCCCACTGGATAGGTGGGGGCCGAGAGACAGTCCTCCTCTTTCCCCGACAGCCAGCCTGCAGGGCCTGGCCCCTCACTGGGAAACTGGCACAGGCTGGCCACTCAGGGCAAGCTCAGCCGCAGGAACGCTGATGTCCCTGTGTTAACAAGAGGGAACACGCACAGGAAGGGGCTCCCGAGGGCGACAGCCACTCCACATTCAGGCTGGGATCCCCCAAGCCTTGTGAACCCCAGTCTCAGAGCCCAGCACCCAGGGCTTTGAAGCCTTTGGGAGAGGGAGGGAGACAACTGGTACAAGAACTCAACCAGTCAGTGCCCAGGAACCACCCCCCCGCCCCCACAACAGTGCAGGGGAGGGGGGTGGCAGGTCTTGAGTTGCAGAAACCCTCTACGGCCCTCCTACCCCTGCAAGGACAGGGGAAAG